TTCCAAGAACACGTGATCTAAGCTATATGACTAGCTAATTTATGGAGTGTTTGCAAAGTTGAATTTTTATGACATGCAGAAAGGCAGACCAGGGACAACATTTTCTGAAGAGGGGTCTAGGCCCGAAACGTCAGGATTCATGCTCCTCTGATGCTGCTTGGCCTGCGGTGTTCATTCAGCTCTACACCTTGTTGTCCCAGGAACAACAATCAGGTTTCAATTGACCTTTACTTAAAACTCAGTTAGCAACATTTGGCGAGTATCTATGCATCTCACAGACAAACAGTAACAGAGAGAATTGTATGTACAGAAAGTTGTCAAAGGGAAATAGTCGCAACCTCATTGATTAAGAAGATCTTAAAGAGTCAAGGTAGGAGTCTATCTCCACCACACTATCAGGCAATGCTATCCAGATACTATCCACTTGTTACAGTAAAACATTTTCCCCAATATCAGTTTTGTTTCTTTTATTTATTATTTTAAATTTGTGCCGTCCCATTCTGGATCCTTTCATGAGTGGGAACATTTTCTCTCTTTTTTTTCTGTTTGAATCACTTGTGATTTTGAATACTTCAACGATTGTCCTTTAAACTTCCTCTTCTCCAAAAGGAACAGTCCCATCTTCTCCAATCTGTGTTTATATTGAAATTCTTTATCTCTGGAATAATTCTCATAAACCTCTTCTACACTACACTATCTCCAGCACCGTCACATTCTTCCTCATGTATGGAATGCAAAACAGGACACAGGTAAAGTACTGAACTTAAGCATCACTAAAAAGAGACATTGAAACTTTTCATTTTGCATTAAGCAGATCTAAAACATAAGAAAGCCACTTTAGAAAGTAAGCATGGGGTGCAGGAGAACTGTTAACTGTCAGTGTTAACTGACTAAATTTAAACCAGGCAAGTCAACTGTCATTGGTCAGGATATTGCCATGGAGATGCAGCAAGGGTTGAGCCCATTGCCCATTACTGAGTGAAAGGGTGCAATGTGCTGAATAATTCTTTTTGCCTACAAAGAACAGAGCCCTGTTTGAGAATAAATGCATCTTATAGAAAATCACATTATGATCCCAGCTGATAATCTTATAATATAATGTAATATTTTGTGTGGTCAGGATTATTTTGTACATGCTGTCCAATAGGAGAATCACATCTAATGTTGGAAACTATATTCTCAGTTTTATAAACATGGACCGGTGGAAAACAGTCAATACACTGGTACTGCAGACAGTCAAAAGATTGCATTGCTTGATATGGTCCACCAGTGTTTGGGATGTACGGCCTACACATCTGACAACAGCACTAAGACTATCAAGCAACTAATTGGGATTAGAAATGTGCAACAAATACCAGCCTCGCCAGCGATGGTCAATGTCTTTAAACGTTGCACAAAATCATGTTTCAGTACAGAAGTAAGATTTAAATTAATAACAAAGGTAAAAAGGTACAGTTGCCATAGTCTAACCAAACTACAGGGCTGCTCTCTCATTAGAGAGAGAGAGAGATATATAACTGGTGATGGTTTAACCTCAGGATCACCATGCCTCAGACAAGGGAAAAGGTTGAGGACAGTTCTTCATGGTAACCTCAACCAGTGCAGGAATTGATCCCACTGTTGGCAGCAGTCTGCACTGCAAACCAGCTTTTTAAAAAAAAAAATTAGGATAATAGTAAAGATGAAAGAAAGCACGGCTTTCTACCATTAATATTACCCAGTTTTTAAGTGTGGTAAAAACATGTAAAGAGACAACAAAAATAACCTTAACTTATTTAAAAGGAGGGGCTGGACTGACCAACATTCTTCTGTCAACATGGCCACTAACAAATTAATACTGCATATGTATTATTGACAGCCACAAACACTGGTTTATTATCTTGGGTAGTTTATCTACAACAATTCCTAGTCCACTGTCCCAATATTCCCGTGTCTAGTCCAAGTTCATTATTCACTTATATCTTATTCAGGAACCAACCAGTGACTCTGTACTAATGCTAACTGATTACATCTTTCATCTTGTCTCATGAAATATCACTTTCTAACAGTCTTATTTCTTTGTAAGAAAAGGAAGAAATTCATTCAATTTTTCAGCTTGTGTTCGTATTTTCACTAAGTTGATTGCAATTTTCAGAAGTCAGTGGCCCTGGACTTTGTTTTTTTTTTTCCTGTGTACTTGAAACATAATGTATGTCAGATGTGCAGACTTTTTCCTTGGCCATTGTGCATTTCAAAGTGAGGTTGTTGCATTATGTAGTGCAATTCACTGTCAAGGTTAGAACTTTGGTTAGAGAGTGTCTATATATAAATCATTGCTGAATCTACTCTATAATATGTTATCAAAGTAACTGAATTACACCTTTGTGACGTTTCCATTTCTCATGCTATATAGTTTTGTAGCCTCCAAGTGTGACAGTAAATTTGTAAAATATGACTAAAATATTTATTAAAAACAATACATAACATTGTTGCTATCAAAACAATTTAATAGCGAAGTATTCTGTCAGTTACATGATTTAAGTCCAAGTCAGGAAATTAAGTAGTCTTGTAAATAGTCATGTCCATTCAAAATACAATAGATTACATTTTGTTGCATGTTAAGCCCTGCCATCCCATCATACCAGCACTGGCCTACAATAAAGCATTATCTTTCCCAAAGTAATAAATTTTAAACCTTCAACCATGTCTCCAAATTCCTTTATGGTTTCTCACATCTTTTGATTGTTCTTCTATCACACAGTACCATATTATTGTTGATTAAGATTGAAACCCATATCTTCAGCTACCTTAGTCTTACTTTTGGAAGCTTCTTCTCTAATAACACTGAATTTCAATTCTTCTCATTGATTTTAGAAATCTTCTAAAAGCCACCTTTTGATCCAGGTATTGTTTACCCCTCCTATTTGCTGCCTCAATGCCTTGGAACCCACTTTTAGGTATAGAATATCCTTTATTCTTTATTGTTACTTGTACTACAATATAGAAGTCTAGGAGTACAGTGAAAAGTTTTTACAATGGCTGCCTTTTAATGGCGCCACCTTAGGTAGAAGTACCTAGCTACAAATCTTACAGAGTTAAAAAAAAGTGGTCTTACACAAAGAGGATGAAAGGAAAGCAAAAGCATTACTTAGTTACAACATAGTGATTTTTAAAAAAAATTATAGTCTGATAACAGAAGCTCAGCATGCGGCACCAGGCCCAAGTCCAGCAATTGTCCCCCATCGCTCCAGCCTCCAGTCCACTCCTCACCGGCACATAGCAGCAACCAGCTCTCTACTTTTTAATTACCTTTTCTCTTACATGAAAGATGCAAAAGTAAACAAGTGACGATTGAAAGAGGTGAGTATTAAAATGTATGGGCAATGAGCAAACGTATGATTTTACCAAGTGGCTCACTAATAATAAATACCTTCTCAGATTCAAATCCCCATGATATCATTCTGAGTACACTAATATCTGGTTTGATCAAGGTACAAGACCCGAAACTTGTTTGAATATGGCGAAATAATGTAACTTAACTTACATAAGTAATACATGTCACAACTGGAGCACGCCAGCACATAAACTGAAGACAGTTAAGTACAGTCTTGCCATACTTAAGTACCACCAGCGTTAATGGCCTTGAGAAATATCACTACTTTGCAATCCCCTTCCACCTCGTACATATAATCACTAGATGTCAATTTTAACTCATTCTGTTGAGTGATCAAATAATGGATTACGTGACCGTGACCAAAATTAATTCAAGCACCGTGATTTTATTGGAGTTGCTGGAAAAGCTCAGCAGGTCTGGCAGCATCTGTGAAGAAAAAAATCACAGTTAACGTTTCGGGTCCTGTGACCCTTCCTGATTTTATTGGTTCCGTGATTGTATTTATTCAAGTGGCCTGGCAACGTTGAACTTTTATTTACATCAGCAATTAATAAAATGGTGAAAAATATAAACCGGTTGGCAGCTCTCCCCTTCCAGGAGCGTTGCTGTGGCCCTTATGTTTTAACTGGCTTCCAGCACAACTTGGCTTTGCCATGGCTTAATGTCTACTCCGTAACAAGTGATCCGCCTCAATATTCCGGATTCACTTTCTCCCTGTACATCCACATTGGCTGCGTGATTCGAGAATAATGTAATCGATACACATCTAACAGTTCGTATGGTTGCACCACATGAGTGTGTGTGAGAGAGATTAAAGGAGAAATGGTAAAATCAGTTTAACCCTGAAAGAGGAAATTAAACCTAACTAAAATGTGCTAATGTATATAGAAACTCAAAATACTTATTTCAACAGGGACAAGATACAATCTCTTCAATTACCTGTGATCAGTCAGTAATGTGTTTGTAAACTATTAGTTAGTTTATTTTCATTGTCCATGCATAATGTAATGTAGAAACTTTAGCAGGAGCCCGTCTAAATGGATTAAATCATAGCAGTCAAAAGGTATTGTTGCTGACTGTTATTCGGTGTTATTGTGGCGCCGGTTTAATTGTCCATTTGCAAGAGGCAGAGGCAAGTTAGGAAACAGTTTGAATGAAATCTCTTAATCTGTACATTTTCAATTCGAATTAAAATAGCTTTACTTTACAGTTGGAGAATACAGCGAGAAATTAAAGCTGCTCAGATGCCGCCCGGAAATGAGTGGTAAACGGGTTGACACTTTCGTCCAGTGTATAATTATAGAGGGGAAGTGTAATGCGTGTTCCCAGCGAATGCTCAGTACCAGCATAAAAAGCGCATTTTCAAAAAAAGAAAACGTCAACAATCAAAGTAGCACCAGGCAAGAGTAATTAATTTACTGCCTGTTATTTTTAAACACCGAATTGTACTTGTCTTTATAACATTGCGCGGGAGTATGACGGCTATGCAATAAAATATGTTGGTAGCATTTGAGGGAATTGCTGGTCCATAATTAATCCAATCGATGCAGTCATTGGCTCAAAAAAGACGTGTATTCAGCGTCGCCAATGTCAGCACAACGTTGGGGGTAAATAAATAGCGGACGCTGGAGGCTGTAGGATGGAAAACCCTGGATCTCAGCTTCACTTCTCAAAGCTGAGGATATCTGTGTGGACAGGAGCGGTTTCTGTAAGGCGCGCTTCACAAAGGGCGTCAACACTTTTCATTGGTAAAATTGCCCCGATTCCGACTGTTCTCAAGGAATATCCAGGTAATTGAAAGTAAGTACTCATCAAGTATCGGGTATTGATAGGAATCTTTGACTGGAGGGATGCAGGTTAAAAGACAGATCTGTACAGTGAAACTACCCTGGAGTTCACGCTAGTGATAGCTAACCTTTCTCGATTGACTATTTACTCAGTTTCCACCTGAAATGAATAGCTCAGTTATACACCAATGTGTTAAACAGCTGCTGATCTGTGACGACCATCCAAGCGTGTTCTCAAAGATCGGTTCGCGACTGATTCATCTGAGGGAATAGTGAAGCCCGTGCACAATTTATTTTAGGTAACAATAATTTGTTCAAAATTCCATCTCCTTGCAATTGCACTACAAAGATCCGAGCGAGTTGCTTCGCCAAGGAATTTCTAATTGGCGGAGGTTCATACAATACATTTCTTGGACGAGAGATTCACCCATTTCTTCTTTGAATTGTAACTGAGAACTTTTTGTTAGATATCACAGTTTTCCCACCCCCGCGTAATCTCTGAATTGTGTTGGATGTACACTTGTTCAAATCTACTTTAGTTCTTAACTTTTATTAGTGTTTGGTCTTAGCTGTACAATCATATTAACATTCAGGGTCTTCCTTTGGAAGGTCTTGCCTAACGTAGAGGACGGAACCATGCAATTGTACTTCTCTGAATAGCTGATGCGTTCTTTGCTTATTTAGTGTTGAAACGTATGTTAATGAAGGTGCAAGTACGGCAGAGATGGAATCTGCCATAGAATACTGATTTGAACATTTAGAATGTTCAAATTTAGAAACCTATTTAGCCGAACCAAATTTCTCTTCAACATTCTGCAAGCGGTAGTAACTACTGCAAAATTAAGTAACAATGTAACGCTTCAAAGTCGGTTCCACAACTTTCGAATCTTCGGGTATTTCTCCGAATCCATTGTCGCAAACCATCCGAGTCAGAGACTAAAAACAAAGGTCAAATTGATGGAAGTTGAAGATGAAAGTAGAAAAAGTGTAATTGCTGTTTCAGAATCTGAATGAGCAGAGGCGTCTTCAAGGTAACTTTTTTGTTTTCGAATTCACTCAAATCCTTGTCTACAAGTTTAGATCTGAAACCTCAATATGTTCCTTTTTAACCAATGTTTGAATTGGAAGCAACGTTTTAGAGACTAATACGCTTAATGTTTCAGAGGCTAGTGATGGAGTGGAGTGTGTTTGTCCTGGTGTTGTCCTTTTGTCCACTGCACACGGTCCACGCGGATTGTGCCAACTGGTGTTCGACATGCAATTCAGTCCTGGACAGCTCAATCAAACCATTGGTAAGATAACCACACTCGATCATACAGTTCAGAAATCAAAGAATAACGATCAATTTTAGCTCAGCACAAACTATAGTTTTCTACATGAGTCAACTGGTGACAGAGCCGTGTCTCATTGTAGTCAATACATTCAGAGGTCCCACTCATTCCCATCAACCCAGCTTAAGGGACACAAATAATAGTCAGCCGTATATTTATCCTCAGGTATTCTTTCGCAATAGAATTAGTTAATTGAAAGAAATCCGTTTTCATTTATGTGCGACTGTTGGTCCAGTAAACTTGCGAGTTTTCTACCTGCATTCAGATCATGTTCGGAATGGTTATGAAATCTACATATACCGATACCAACGCCCAAAAAAGCAGATTACTTAGCGTTCCAACCTCCCCAGGAAAATATATTTACTGTTAGCTACGTGCTGCAATACGTGACAAGGATGTGGAAATATCTACTGCGGATGCTGGAAATCTGAAATAAACACAGAATGCTGGAGAAACTCAGCAGGTCTGAAAGCATCGATGTGGAGAGGGAAACGGTGTTAACGACTCCGAAAGGATTGAATTCTGAAGAGGAGTCATACCGGTGTCGAAACGTTAACCCGGCTTTCTCTCTCTACAGAAGCTTGCGGACCTGCTGAGTTTCTCCTGTAGTTTCTGTTGAATGGAAATATGTTCAATTTCCGAGTCAGAATACGTACACGCAGTAGAATGTAGCCCAATACAACGAACCAGGCAACTAGAAACAGTAAGTGATATACAGGCAGCAACAATAGCTGTGTCCTGTGGAGCATCTAACAACTACTAGCAATTGCAGAACAGATGGGAACTTGTCAGCCGGAACATATCTAGCTAGAATAGTGTTGACGATTAAACTTGCTTAATTAGCTGCAGGTTGACAACAAAATAAGTACAAAACTATAAATGCAGCCAATACAGATTAAACTCTTGCAAGTTATCGTTTTCTTCGACATAGGGATAGATAATATTCAAACGCTAGCTGCCATACGCGACAGCAAATGTTCGGCAGGGGGTGTTTTCTAACACCTTGAAAAGCTTTGTTTGAATGGAGATCGGTAATAACGGAGAAGTTCAAGATTAACGATTTTTCAATCCTTCTATCTGCTCTCTATTGCCAGTCCGCTGCTCTGGTTGCCCTCCGGTTGGTAAATTTATTGCCAGGTTTGAGGTGTATGGAACTCTACCTGCTGAGAGTGTAAACACAGGACAGTCCTTCAAAAACAATGTACATAATAATCCTTTCTGATGAAGGGTCTAGGCCCGAAACGTCAGCCTCTCTGCTCCTATGATGCTGCTTGGCCTGCTGTGTTCATCCAGCCCTGCACCTTGTTGTCTCACATAATGATCCTGCTCCTGTTTAGTCTTTGAAAAGAATGTGCATCTGTAAAGCAGCTCTTCTGGTATAACCACAGAAAGATGTTATCCCTAAATGTTGCAATTCTAAAATACAAGTGGATACTGTTGGAAACATTCCGGAGATCAAATACCACCAGTCGAGATAAAAGCAGATGTTCCTCTGAGCGACGCACAAATGGCTTTTTTCAGGGTCTGAGAGATTGTTACCCAATAATTTTCACAATTTACTGTTAAAGTCGAACTCTTGCATGCACAAATTCTAACTTTTTTTTTCAACTGTTTTTCAGTGCAAGGTAATTGGGGAATGACCCAAGGTTTATACCATTACAGTAATTTCAGTACCAAGTATAACAGTAAATACTGCAATCTATGGATCTCTGGAGCAGAAGGTTATCTCTATCATTTCTGGATTTCTTTATCTTTACTTACTTTTTACACATTAGCTGCCCATTACATGTTGTGAGGTCAAATAAGTTTCCTTGATTAACTATTCACAAACAGAGTACTCCTGTCTGGACCACACCATGTAGAATAGAAATTTATTGTCCATGTACTTTTACATGAAAAATACAGCAACATGCAATAGCAGTTTTTTATTGCTAACATCTTCATGATACAAATGATGCCATTTTTGACTCTAATAAAATTGCTATTCTCTTGAAATTAATTTGTATGAATTAAGGTCTTTTTTGGCCAATACCAATTGAAATATTATTCTTATGAAAGTTAATGTAGCTGTGAAAAGTGCTATCTTCTCATTGCATCTTCCAGACCTGCACTTTAGAGTGTGAAGGGGTAGTGCTTTCTACCAATGAGTGGGAAAAATGTGACAAAGCTTTTCACTCATACAAGCCTGACCATTTTGGCATTGTTGATGAAGACCTTGTTGACCTAGGCACTGATGGAAAGGAAGATGAGGGTGCAGAGGCACATTTTGGAAAACCGCATAATAGTCTTGTTAATCATGATGGGGGCTTCATGAAGAAGATTGACAAGAGCAGAATTTATGCCAAACAATTAGCCCAACAAAATGGTTACAATGGACAAAATCTGAAGTATGGAGGAATTCTGCATAAGTTTGGTGAAAGGGATGCAACTGAACTAGAGAAGAATTCTCAGGAACTTGAAGCTGCAGTGGAGAATCTTCTGGAAAAAAGTAGTGACAGCCCCAACATCCAAGAGCTAAAGCGTTATGGAGGATTCATGAAAGGCTTTGGTTACAAAAGAAGTGCAGAACTGGGTGATGAAGAAAATCAAAATATGGAGCTTCAAAAGAGATATGGGGGTTTTATGAGAAGAATTGGTAGACCAAGATATAAATGGGATAATCAAAAAAGATATGGTGGCTTCCTGAGGCGCCATTTCCGGGTTTCAGTCAGGTCAGATGATGGTGATGCAAATGATTATTCTGAAGAGAATTCAGACTTCTAAAAGAGCCAAAGTGATGTGCATCTAGATGTGAGAAAGCACTCTGCCAAGATAGATTCAGTATTGAAACTATAAATGTATTGTTTTGAATGCACAGATATTTTTGCTATTAAGTTTACAATAGGCTGTCTAAACAGCAGTTAAATCAGTTGAATCTGTACTTTGTTGGCATAGTTTGTGAATCCAATAAAAAAAAGTTCTCTAGACTTGTTTTTGTTTGCCTCCTGTAATGGAACTTCAATATTAGAGTTATTTTTTTTCATGCTTAGATTACAATAAAGTAAGCAATGTCTGTGGCTAACATGCAAACTAAAGCTGGCATGTTTAGTTTCTTTTTTTTTATTTTAAAAATTGACATAAATCATTGTTTAAAAATGTCATCACCTTGCACAACTAGTTTATTTCACTGACATGCTTCGACCCAGTCGACAATTGACACACTTTGGTATGGTCACCAAATTGAAGTTGCTGGAACACAAAGGAATATCCATTCTAAACGATCTGATGAAATATTGTCATGCTAAATTCATGTAGCAATTAACATCAGAAAGGCTGTAACGTTCTTTTTTAGCAATACATTTTAAAAGTTAAGCAAGAAGTGAAATGATCTCAGTGACATGAACACATAATACATCATGAGCATTATAAACTGCAAGAAATATAACATTATGATCATAGACATAGCAAATAACAGATATGTTCCACATGACTCATTGTAATTTCATGCAAATTTTTTTTGAACCAATGTCTTTTTTTCAATGTAAATTGTATCATGAGAATATTTATTTGTATGAAGAAGCTTTCATAGCTAACATTTAGGTAAATCCCTTACAAACAAAAATGTTTGGGAGGCAGTTTTCTTGTTGGAAGATTCAGCTTGCTTTTAAAATGTTTCTCATTCTAATTTAATCAGAGCTGTCTTTGCATTCTTGCCAAAATTTTTCTTGCATGGATTTCCAAATTTGATTACAGATCTCCTCCTCAGATACTTTGATCTTGATCACCATTGCTAGATGAGGAAATTTGGTGACAGGAAATTGCAGCTTGAATTTTGAGGTCAGCACAATAACTATGCTGATAACTGTCCACAAACATTTTGTGGGCTTTGGAGCAGTAATGTGATGTCATCAGGTATCCAATCCAGTGTGATAATCATTGCAGGAGATGTGTAACATGTGAGCAGGGCAAATAACAACATGGTTAAGAAGGAAGTGAACATCATAAGTGCACACATGATAAACTTACACTCTAAGCTATGTTTTCAATCGTTGATACTCAGTGAAGGCATCAAAGGAAAACTATTCACTTTGGTCACTTGGCCTCAAAAAATGATTCTTTATGTTGATGTAATATCTTTTGTTGTGTTTGTACTTTAATGGTGCCTTTTTGAATTATCAAAATGTCCCAGACTTTTTGTTTTAAATTTAGTGAGAGATTCATTCATTATTTTGAAGAGAGCCCTCAAATTAATAATAGGATTGGAATCATTAAAACATTTTATCTCACATGGTTTTAGAACCACGTCTGAGAGTTTTGGCTCAAGACAAGCTGGTCAAAGAGAAGGATAAGTCAAAATTGTTTGCAAGCTCAGGTTTTGTAGAACTCTGTTTATTGCCTGCTAACACTAAAATTCAAAAATTCCATACCTGGGTACCTTGTACATAAGATGGCACTGTAAGTGGTGACTTTGTAAATCTTTCACTGCACCCATGTGAGTGCACACGTGACAATAAACCTAATTCAATATAAGACTATTCAACTTTATATGGTAATCTCAGATATACCAGGTTCAGAACTTATCGTTAAATTGTTGAGAGATTGTTCTCTACATGTTCTTTCTTCACTCTAACTTAGATCTGCCTCCACTGTGCTACATTTTCTCATTGGAAGCAATGCCATGACATCATTTGAAGGTTGCATCACGGTCTTAAAGCCCTCACACAACACCATTCCCCAAACTTTTTTCCCGCATTATAAACATTGATTAACATGTTTACATATTCTCAACTGTGTTACTTAAGTTACTCCTTGTTACAGCAATTACTGTACAGTTTGTCATTATCTCTCTTACCCTTGCCTAAAGTCTTCAACTTATAAGACAAGATGTAGGAGCAGAAATAGACCATTCAGCCCATTGAGTTTGCTCCATCATTCTGCCATGGCTGATCTGATAATCCTCATCTCCACTTCCTGTCTTTTCCCCCATACTTCTTGCTTCCTAACTGATTAAAAATATGCCTTGATTCATTTTTGGCGATAGATGAATAAGAAAAAAGCTATAGGAAGACATAGAAACACTTGAAGTAAAATGGTGACCTTTACTGGTTTCCATTAGATCAATGATTTTATTGATCTCATGATGTGACCACACATTCTGAGTGGGTAGTGTGAACCAAGGGATCAAATAAAAGACAATAATAATTCATGAAACACCACCGGTGACGCCTGATTTTGTTCCAGTGGGGCAGGCGGTTCCAGTAGGTCAGAATAATGAGATGAGATGACTGTTTTTATTGAAGATGTAACTTTAAATTGTATTTGAAAGGTTCATGCAGTCTAATTGTACCCTTTCTGTGACATCCCTTATCCAGAGCAGTTGACCATTTTGTAAATTAGACATTTTAGTTCAGTAATGTTTATTATAGTTCTGTGCCTGCCTACTTTGGAGTTAGCAGCTCTTTTGGGAAGCAATGTGAATAATTCCACTATTGCCCTGTGGAAGCAAGTTGCTGGACAGTGTAGGAAACTGAGTTGTTATCCGCATCCCATCAACATTTCCAGCAGAGTGGGGGGGAGGATTAAACAAGCTGGGCAGTAAGTAAGTCTGGATTTTTCTTCACTGTCTGAACTAGTCATACTGGTGTCCCTTCATTGGACTAAGAATATGTGAGCAAATGTGTGAAGTCTTGAAAGCAGAAGGTCTTTGCAAATGTTTTGAACATTTCATGAGCAAACTGTGGGTTTTTGTTGGAAGTAATAATATCTGGGATTCCGTGGGCAGAAAACATCTCACACAGCACTCTCCAAATGGTTTCAGTGATCATTGATGCCTGTTATTTAACTTCAAATTATGTTAAGGTGTAATTAACCAAAAAGAGGTAAGAATTAACATATACCAAGTAGGTATATGCCCATACAAACCCAAAGTCCATCAGGAAATTCAATTGGAATGAGAGGGCCCGACCATTCAAAACTGTGTATAACTCATGTATGACAATTAACAACAAAGTGCTCTAACTATCTGGAAATCCCTGACGGTAAAATAGCCACATAAGCTCTTCCTCTGCACTTAGTTGTATCTAAAAGCCCTGTGTGAATCCTCTGAAGATTGTCATTCTGCAATGAATAGGACATTGCCAGCTGATCATCAAAAAACAGTGAATCTTTGATAATAGAGCAGTGCTGTCTGTGTTCAAAGGAAGTCTTCATAGCACAATGTGCAAACTGAATGCCAGGTCATTCTTGGATGCTATGCTTATGAACAATGATGCAGGGAGGATTCATCGCCTGCTCCTTTCTGATGAGGTTCAGACTGTTTGATGTGGCTGGCCAAAACAGTACTATTGCCTGGGCATTCAAGTTTACTTCAGCCCCAAAATCATCATCATCAGATATGAATACATCAACTGTGGCTCTGGAAAGAGCATCTGCTTACCTTTGATATTTGTTTTGGACATATTATATCTCAGACGAGAATCTCATAAGTCTGAGGCAACATTGTTATATATGAGTAGTCATTTCTAAAAACTTTTCTCATCCAATAACAAGACCGAAGGTTAAGGATCTGGTTTAATTGTAACTTTCCGATCCAAAACATAATCAGAATATTTTTCACAGACTCAGTAGCCACGAAAGCCTCTTTCTCAATGGTGGCATTCTTGGATTCTGCATCCAACAATGCCCTTGAAGCACAATACAGGTTTTTTAACATCCTTCAGGCTGTTCTCGAAAAAGAACCACCCCAATACCTGTACTCCAATATCGTTGCTAACTATGTTACCTAGCAAACAAACAGAATCTGTAGGGACCTATATTTGTCATTCAGTGTAAGATCTGCTGCTTGGGAATGTTTCGGGACATCACGTAATCTCATGGAGCTGGATAGTTTCACCAGGTATTGGGATATCACCCATGTGACTTATAGTGCCATTTTGTCCCTGTAGAATATTGAACACAGTATACTGGAAAATTCCAAAACAAAAGCAATACTAAAGGTAGTCTATTGAAACAGTATTAACTGAAAAGGATAATTGAAATGGTAAGGAGCCAAGATATCTCATCCAGAATGAACTGTCAAAATGCAATATTGGCTTTCAGATTCCTAGATATTCCACTGGTGGAAAGTTTAGCCAAACTTTCATCAACTGTGGACATAGGATTAATTTCTCTATCATCTGCTATATTGAGTAGAGTGAGATCCACTAGTATTGAGCCATTGATCTGGGGAACTGTGATTGTGTCTGACCTTCATTCTGTAGGTTCAGTCACTGGGAAGATAACTTCCATATTGACCACTCTTGCTGTTAATGGATGAGGAATTTGGCTATGTACAAACAGACAAAATGGTTTGGCATCAGCATTGAAAACAAATTTGGGAGGCACTTTAAGTTCTCCTAATCCTATGAACAATTTGGAATACTGGTCAGCAGTTCCTGTACAGTTCCTGTACACTATATAGGAGATTAGGGCAAAACATGCCTTCTTACGCAGTAGAGAATATTGATGGAGGCTGATGATGTGTGATTGTTAAATGTCAGCATGATATGTAACTCCCCTTTAACTGTAGGTTTGCTATTTCTCACTGAACGCAACTTTAAATCTAGAGGTGATATGTTTGGCTTTATCACCTGAGCTATCTGTGATCCTGACATAAGAATTCGGCTTAAATTTGATTGGATAACTAGTTACTTAGTTGAATTCTGTCAAGTGTATATCAAGTGTCTGTTTAATTTCTCCTAAGGAAGAGTAACATTGGTTTTCCATAAGTAGTTGTTGCGCATGTAAAGAAACTTGCCCCATTGCAGTATTGACCTGTTCTTCAAGGCTCTGTTCCAAGGCATGAACATATATGTTGACCTAGAAACAATTTGGTTTACAGCTTAAAAAAAAGCAAAGGACTGCAGATGTTGATATCAAAAACAAAAACAGAAATTGCTGGAAAAGTTCAGCAGGTCTGGCAGCATCTGTGGAGAGAAAGTAGAATTAT